AGACGCAAAAGAAGGGGTGTGGGAACAGATTTTTGCTTTGTTTCAAGATAGGGAGATGCTTTCTTTGAGCAACATGAAAAGCGGCGGTCCAATGGAAGTGTTTATGTTTCTTGTTTTCACTTGCGGGTGATGAAAGAGTATGGTGTTGCAGAATCATGGGCTAAATTATTCACTATACGCCCGCAATAAATTGTGGTAAGGCCGCTTGATTGTGAAGGAATGTTGGCGAAGAAGCCGGTAGGCTTTAGAAAGGGTGGTGAAGTTGTGTTCGTACTCGTAAGGATGTTGTTGGGTGATCAAAAGTTGGAATAGATGGCACAGTAGCCAGTACCGGTTTATGGATTCTTTTATGGACAATGCTTGGCTCCTGATATATCAGGAGCCATTCCTCCTCAATAGCTAACGTGGCTTCTTTACAAAACAACACGTGTTGTTTTTTTTTTTTTTTTTTCAACTCCTTTAACCCAAGTCTTTTGCTGGGTTTTTTTAAACTTGGGTCAAGTTAAAGGAGAAAGAGACGAAAACAGGGGGGGGGGACTTGCAGGTTTTTTTCTTTTTTTGAAAAAAAAAAGATTTTTCATGGTTGTTGAAGAAAGGAGGAGGAGAGGGAGAGGGAGAAGGAGGAGAAAACTTACATGCTAAATAAAGGTGAAACCAAAAAATTTTGCCGTTCTAGCCACACCAAGTCAAGCAAAAATGGGGAAAAAAAAAGGCCAGAGACACCATACTAAGCCAGCAAAAATGGATTAATTGCAAAACAACACACCCACCGTTTTGTTCTTTTTCTCCACCATAAAACCAGTCTTCCCTCTCTTCTCTCCAATTCTGTACATTTCAAACCTTGCCAAAACCCTAGATTTTTTAATGGATTCTCAATTTTTGCTCACTCTTTCTCTTTGTTTCCTTTGCATTTTCCCTCATCTCTCCTATTCCAGAAGAGGAGAGAAGAGAGAGTTGGGGGAGGAGAGAAGAGAGAAGAGAGAGAGACGGGGAGATGAGAGAAGAGAGTTGGGGGATGAGAGGAGAGTGGGTGAGAAGAGAGAGAGAGAGAGTCAGTGAAACAAATTAAAAAAAAGTAAAAAAAAAGTAACATGTGTCACTTTTTAAAGAGGCCACATCATTGTTGAGGAGGTATGGCTGCTGATATATCAGGAGCCAAGCATTGTCCTTCTTTTATTAACCATGTGTGTGGTATGGTTTTGTTTGGAAATTATATGTCTACGGTATGGTAATATGCAGTTGACAGTGACACTACATGACTAGAATTCAATAGTTTAATTAAAAACAATAACATGCAACGTTATATAAATAGGGGTGGACATCTCATCTAAATTATTCGCGTACCGACCGTACCATATTGATTGTTTGATTTAGTTTGGTTAAATAATTATTTTTTAATTTTAATTATTCCAATTCGATATGTACCGAAATGTTTGGTTTGGTCAACGGAAACAATATTCTTAACCCGATGGAAACCCGTATCGATCCAATATTTATAACTATTTTATTACAAAACAAGAAATCAAAGGTAAATACAATCAGGATTTTGTATCACTCCTTTATCACTTATGTATCACTTCTTTATCACCATTGTATCACTACTTTATCACTATTGTATCACTCTTTTATCACCCATGTACTGTAGCACTTTTTGGTCAGAGAGGAATTTAAGAACTTCCTATGTTTTCCAGTTACTACCTTTGTCCCTTTTTTTACCTGTAACTTTCAAACCGTTGATCCAAATTTTATATTCTTTATATGGTTGGATTCAGCATGAAACACTAAAGAACCCAGCGCTGAACAAATGTCAAAACCATTTACATAAATGTAGAGAATTCAGTAAAAAGAACACTCAAAGGTTCAAACAACAAACACAAGTGGCTCCCAGTACATCTTGAGTACATATTGAATGATATAGTGACTAAGTTATTTGATTTCATACTTGGATGAATTAGACTATTGAATTTTTATATTTTACAAGGATAATTTGGTGTATTTGTTCAAGAACTTATGTTATGTGAAAGTATTATAAATTGTATTTTGATAGTATGTTTTTATTACGGTACCACCGGCGTACCGAACAAATATGAACCAAATATTAGGTTAACTGATCTGAAGTCTTTGATTTGGTTAATGGAAGAGAAAATAGTCTATCGAAGTCTTTGGTTTGGTTAACGGAAGAGCTTTCTACCATTTTGAACCGATCCGTGCCCAAGCCTAATATAAACAATGTTTTATGGAGCAATATTTTGTAATGGGAAAGTATCTTAATTATTCCAGTGTTGAAAAAGAGATCACATTTTTCATTAACTGTTCGACTTGAATCCATGCCTGGAAGTCAAATTGTGTGTTAAGAACACATGGGTAGAATTTAAACTGGCTTGTAACGGAAGGGTGCCCATAAGCCCTTAAACCACTTTATGATATGCTATTTTTCAAATGTGGGATCAATGACTCGATATCATCTTAATTAAGCTTGGAGGTCGCCTGGGCCTAGTTGCGTGGTGCCAGGCTCTGATACCAAATGTTAAGAACCCATCGATAGAACTTGCCCCTATCTAACCAAAAAAAAAAAAAAAAAAAAAAAAAAAAAAAAATTGCCCCTAAAAATTGGCTTGTAAAGGAAGGATGCCTATGAGCTCTCAAACCACTATGGGCTCGTTGGGTACGTCGGACTGTACTGTCTAATTTCTGCGGATTGTATTAATCTGTTATGGAGAGTACTGACTATTTATCCATAATATTATAAGGTGTTTGGTGTTGTTCCGGATAAATAGTCTGACTAAGTTATACTATGTTTGGTGTTGCTCCGGATAACATCGGATTAGACTATTTTTTTAAAAACAATTCCTTGATAATTTAAGTGGAAATTGAAATTGAAATGACACAATTTTTTTTGGGTAAGATTCATATGACAAGATTTGTTTTTCAATTTTTTTGGTAATAAACAAGTCCATCTTTGGGAATTCTTATTGAGTTGCACACCTGGAGAAGATGAAATATGTAAAGAAAAAAAAAGCAAGAAAAACTCAGTAGCATGTATTGAGTTGGATACACAGTCGCATGATGATAATTTGATTATTTGATTATTGAGTTGGATACATAGTCGCATATATTTTCCAATACATCAAGAAAAAAAAAATGTCAAAACGAAAAATTCATAACCTAATTTCCACAAAAATTTAAAAAAAGAGAAAATATGTAAAGAAAGAAGATGAAGACAGAAGAAGAGAGAAGAAGCATATTGGAGAGAGAGAGAGAGAGAGAGAGAGAGAGAGAGATGGATACTTGGAGAAGAGTGAAGAGAATAACCCTGGAGAAGATAGCAGAGAAGAAGATGAAAATAGCGTCATCGGAATTTTCACATGAACGTGGGTGTTTTTTTCCCTAAAATTAAGCATGTATTATCCAAGGACGTATCTACACTTGGGCCAGAGTGGCCTTCAGCCCAGTCCTGATTTAGTAAATAAGCTTAAAGGTGCAGGCTAACTTAGCAATTTTAGAAACCAGCCTACCCCTCTACTCTATGCATAAGCCAGTCTATCACTCTATATAAAAAGAAGGCTACCCACTTAGCCATCTTTAACTGACACACAAGGAGTGGATAAGGAATCCACTAAGCCCAAAAAAAACCGACGAAAATAATAGAACAAAAGCCTCCAACCATCTGACCAAAAAAAAAAAAAAAAAACAAGCTCCCCTCCAGGAAGCAAGCCAAGCCAAACAAAAAAAAAAAGCCTAAAAGCCTAAAAGCACGAAAGAACCAAAGAAGAAGTGACTCTCTTCCTCTCCAAAATTGTATTGACATATCTTCAGTGGGTTCTTCAATCTTAGTAAGTTTCTCTCTTTATTTTTATTTTATTTTCAATTTTAATTGTTATTGTTAAGTTTTTATGATTTAGGGTTGGTTTGTTAAATTTTGAGTCGTGCTACTAGCGTGATAGGAAATTGTTTCTGAAAAATTGTAAGTTGCGCTACACACGAGTGATGGGAAAAAAGTCTCCCCCACTCACAGCACGGATGCCAATTGCTTTCAGAAAAAAAAATTAGTCCATCCTAGTAAAATTCCTGGATCCACCTTTGGTATTATCTAAACCGGGGTGTGTGGAATATTAAAAGTCCAATCCGTTTAAAATAGTCAGGTAATTAAATAATATAAGTTGACACCAAATACCTGACATGAACTATTTACTCATATCCAGATTCTAATACAATGTACCAAACGAGCTCTCTATGATATGTTCTTTTTCCAATATGGGATCTTGAGTCCTAACACTGTGTTAGCTGGATAGGACAAAATACGTGTTGTGCTCATAATGTTTTTTTCTCGTTCAAAAAAGTAGGTTTTTATTTTTACCCTAACGAAGGCGGGAATGAAGAATCCCCAATTTTAATATTGCATGAAGAGGGATGTGAGAAAAATGCTTAACGGAGATAAAGATGGGCATATAATACTTAAGTCGGTCGAAACATCGGTATATAATCTCCTCAATCCCAAATCCCTACTTTTGTTGAGTTCCTGAATGAACCAGGTTTCCCGGTTTATCTCTTTCTTCCTTTTTTTGGCTTGGTTTATCTCAATCCCAAATTGTCAAAAGAATGATGAGAGATAAAAGGGAACAAACATTCTAAACCCAGTTAAAGTAGAGAACGGATCTCTTCCAAACATTGTTACCTAGTTAAACTCAAATAGCATTGTTAGTGAACAAAATTCCTGAAGTACCACAGATTTATATTTTATATTTTTTTAGTATTTATTTATTGCTATATTTCCTTTGTTGAATCGGATTTGTAGAAGGGTCGGCGGAAACGTTTATATATTCTCCCCAATCCCATATTAAATTAGAGCAAAAAGAAAACTTGTATTAGAGAGATTGTTAATCCGATCAATGGAAACAATCTCAGTGGGCAAGGTTCCTGAAGCAACCAGACCAAAAAAAAGAATTAGATGCAAGGAAGCAATGACCAGGCCAAAAAAAAGAATTAGATGCACCGAAGCAATGACCAGGCCAAAAAAAAGAATTAGATGGACGGAAGCAGTGCCATTGGACAACAGAGTTAACGTTCCTGAAGATATCATCCACGACATCCTGCTGTTGTTGCCCATCAGATCTCTACTCACATGCACCGCAGTGTGCAAATCATGGAGGTCTCTAATCCAAAGCTCTGCCTTCATCCACACCCGCCTCAACCGCACGATTCAATCCAACAAGCAAAATGAGGATGCTCAGCTCCTACTGATTAACTATTACAGCAACAGAGAAAAAGCACTTATTTTCTCACTGCATTGGGATAATAGCTCTTCTTTCAGTGAGTATTCCAAGCTTATAAATCCATTCGTAGCTGATTACAATCAAATTAAAGGAGGTCCTAGAAAGAAATATTGCTACAAAGAGGTGGTCGGAACGTGTAACGGACTCGTATGCCTGAATGATTATGACACTGCCCCATTAATTTGGAACCCTTGTATTAGGAAGTTTGTGATTTTGCCTCCGCCTAGTGTTAACTTAATGGACGTTAAGGTTAAATGCCACCCAAATTACTATAAATCGGTTTATGCATTTGGATACGATTCACTTACGAACGACTATAAGGTTTTGAGATGTGTTGGTTGTTATCACGGCTTTAGGCGTGCAGTTGAGATTTGGTCCTTATCCAGCGCCTCCTGGAAGAGGCTTAGTGATGATATTGTTCCTGCAAAATTCTCGCTTGGAGAATTTACTCAAAGGCACGCTGCTTTTCTTAATGGTGTTCTACATTGGATTCACAGGGAGGAGGAAATCTGTTTCATTGTGTCATTTGATTTGTCCACTGAATTATTTGGCAAGATCCTCATGCCCGAAGCAGCTGTGAGGAGTAAGAAGTCGTACGCCACCCATGGCGTATACGTGAGAAAAGAGGTTTCCGATCTTTCAAGATACCGGGACTCGCTTGCTTTTTTTGAGTTTCGTCAGAAAGATATGAAATGTGTTCGTGTTCACATGTGGGTGATGAAAGAGTATGGTGTTGCAGGATCCTGGGCTAAATTATTCACTATATCCCCGCAAGAGGTTGTGATCAGGGCGCTTGGTTTCAGAAAGAGTGGCCAAGTAGTGCTCGAGTTGCATCCGTTTGGGCGTGGTGGACAATTTTGTTGTCGGTCGATGGACCCTAACACCAAACAATTTGAGGATTTTCGAGTAGAAGGGAGCTGCACCAAGTCCTACCTCTTCATGGATTCTTTTGTAGAGAGCATTGTTTTACTTGATCGACCCAATGCTATTTCATACTAGAACAGGTTGGGTTGGTTCCAACTAGCATTATTTGGGCTTTATTCCTCCAAATATCCCGCCCCCTGAAAATTATCTGCGTTTATGGTTGGCTTTTCTTTTTTACTGTCGTTTCCTTTGCACTAATTATCTACGTTCAGGATTGGTTTATTTATTTATTTATTAGTTCTTTTCTTTGGAACTTATGTCTATTTGAAACAAGGCTTATTTGTTGAAATGCTCAATCTGGTTGCCCCATTATGTTAGTTTTCAGATGAAAACCGTTAAATCAGTTTACATGGTGCGGGTTTTTTTGATAAATTTAACTAATCAAAATTCAAATTAAATATAAAAAATGCTTTGAATTATTTAAAATAGGTAAAAAAAAATTATGATTAAAAATATCCCTTTTTCTTCCCCCTCAATCGTTAGCCCTCACCACTTTTTCCCTCATCTCAATCAACCCACCCCCAACCAACCCCATCAAACCCAACCCACCATCTGTCTCTCTCCTCTCAATTCTCTCTCTTTCTTTGGCACCCACCGAAGGAGATCTAGACTGCCACAAAGGTGAAATCTGAAGTCAATTTAGTGATTTTGTTTGTAAATTTTGAGCTGGTTGAGATGCGGGAGAAGGTGGTGGGGACTGACGATTACGAAGAAAAAAAAACATAGGAGACATTTTTATCTTTGTTTTTTTTAATACATATTTTAAATAATTTCAAGCATTTTTATATTTAATTTGAATTTTTTAATTTTTAATAGTTAAATTTACCAAAATACCCATGTCACTTCAGCTTATTTAATGATTTTTATATGAAACCTTGGTCATGGGATAGGGCAACCTTGGTCACGGAATGGAAGTTCAAGGGGAAAATTGAGTCATTTGAAATGCTAGGGCAAACTAAGATTATTTGGAAACCACAAAGGGCATTTCAACAAATAAGCCTTGAAAGAAAGAGTGCATGCTTCAATTTTAAGTATGCCCAACGTAACTTTCTATTACTATTTCTACCGTAAATTTTCTCTAATAATGGTTTGTTTATGTTATTATGTTAACTCGCAATTGTACGGGCCAATTAGTAGTATAGCAAGACAAGTACGAAGTCGTATCCACGAGGACTGAGAAGTTAAACTTAGTTATGTACTTAGATTAGCGAATTCAAGAAAGTAGGAAGTTAAGTCTAAAACAAAATTTCAATCGAGAGTGATTGTGATTGTCAAACAAATGAAGCCAAATGAAATTGCAAATAAAAGCAAAGTAAGCAATTCCAACAAAGGGTGGTTTTGTTGGAGACTAGGGCATTCGATTCACTATAACAATTCAATTCCACGTTATAAGGATTCAAGTGACAAGTCTAATTTAGATTCAAAGATTGATTCTAGCTAAAGTATGACTAAGCCATGGTGTCTGGTCCTAACCTTGTATTCCTAATTCCCTAATTTGATCATCTGTTGTCTAACCTAAAATTAAGCATTAGAAATCCATTAAGCATAAAAGAATGTTTTAAACAACCATGCATGTATCCTTTTTTTGAATGTCCATACATACTCTTCCTATTCATAGTACAATTCGAATTAAAGTATGTGTCTCCTCTTAATTCCAACCAAGATACACAAATTTGAATGGCAACTAGGCATTCCGATTAGCATATTAGCAAGTAGGCATAATCAATAAGAATATGAATCATGAATCAAAATTGAAACTTGAAATTTATAAATTCAGAATATTCATATTAGGTTACATCGAAGCCTTAGTTATGAATTTAGCCACTCAAAATGGGAAAGACACTTATACAGAAATGAGAAAACATAATGAATGCAATAAGAGTGTGGGGGCTTTTCGTTCCGGCAGCTACAGATGGGCTGGGCTGCCGTAAGGAGCAAATGGGTGAAATTACCCCCCTGTGTCTGAGTTTAAGAATACTTTGAAAGGGTAGTGGAGCCTTAGGAAGCATGTAATAACCCGGTTCTTAAATAATATTTAATTATAAATTAATTCGAGAGAAAAGACAATTTTACCCCAGGAATAAATTAGTAGAGAAAAAGTTGACTTCTTGGTCTGGGAAGAATTTGAGAATTTCGATTGCACCGTTGCGTTGAGCACGACGAAACTAGTCTGTAGACACGTAGTGGGCTCAATTCCGAGTCGTATTGAAGAAAATGTGATTAAAAATGGGTTAGGGGTAAAAAGATAATTTTGCAAGCCAGACTTTTTAAAAAAAAACTGTTTTCTCTTCTCTCTCCTCCCATCTCTCTCCCCGCGTTTCTCTCCTCCCTCCCTCGACTCTGTCACGAACCAATCACCACCCAGCCACCCACCTCCGGATCGGCCAGGAATCAAGTCGGCATCGCACCGCAGCCAACTCCGACCTTCCTCCCGCCTCTGCCAATGCCACAGCCACCTGAAACCTACAGTTTGGCCGGAAAATCTCTCCGAAATTCAAACCTCTGAGTCTCTCTCCTTCGGCCGTCAAATTTTTCAAGTGAGGTATGGATTTCAAGCTATTTTCCATGGTCTAACTGATGGTTGGGTAGGATTTGAGAGATTTTGAAGTTTGGCAGGTTAATTTCAAAATTTAATTTGGCCAGTTTTTGGATCTTAATTCCGGCCACTTTTTGGGGTAGATCCAAGAACAAAAGTGGTTCCAAATGGGGTGTTTTACCGAGGACAGGAGTTTGGGCAGGCGGTTTGGAGTTTTCCGGCCACCGAAAATTTACTCACGGCACCCAGGTGCTACCGGTGCGTGGGCCAGGCCTTGAGCAAGTAGTTGGCTCCAGAACGATCCTCGTGTCCTCACGAGTGTGTAGGAATTCGCGGATCTCAATTCGGACAACGTTTGAACCCCGAACAGATCCCGCCTATTGCGCAATTTCTGGGTTCAATACGTTTAAACCGTTGGATCGTAGTCAATCTCAGATATGTTGATCTAGGTAATTCCAGGTCCATGTAGAATTTGACAGATCGTGAATCGGAGTCCTAAATACTCCGTAAAGGTCAGCCCTAGGCCTAGGGCTAGGGTTATAGGAAACAATCCGACCGTCTAATCTTACGATCGTGAGCAATCCGACCGTTCGATCGAGACCAAAATTTTGGGATGTGTGTCCTAGGCACAGAGGAACCTCTAAGAGCTTTCGGATCAGAATTTGTAGGTCGTGGACCCCACGAGGTTCTAGGTTGACTTTTAGGGACTTTATCGCTTCTTGAGTCCCGAGTCACATTCTAACTTTAGAAAAGCGTTTGTGGGCGTGGGAATGACCTCTAAGTTAGTGAACGTACTTCTAGAAACTCCAGGCCAGGGTTTCATATAAAATAATGATGATGAGCTCTATTGTTTGTGTATGAGTTTTTGGGAAGTTCATCTACGTGCGAGTGTTCATAGGTTTAATTATGGCATTAAATTCCTGAAGATACATGATCTCGGGATGAGCATGCGTAATTGGAAGCATATTATACTATGCGAGGGTATATCTAAGGGTTATTTCAGTGTTTGAGGATTATGCATAATTGGAGCTGAGGAAATCTCTAAGAGTAAGAGAATCTATTTATCAGTTCATTTATCAACCTATTTATTTATTCATATGGTTGATTGTGTTGTTAAGATTATAAATATAATATGGGAAGGGGTTGTTAATCAGAGTCCGAAGGGACTAACAGACTAGTTAAATATTTAAATGTACATCTATATTGAGTCCATACACTCAGCAGCAGAAAATAAATTTGTGGAATAGAAGGCAAAGTTTGAGTTAAATCTCTGATTATGACTTTCAAACCCACCAGAGGAGTACCCCCAGTGGCTTGAAATCATATGTCATTTAAGACATGCCCCACGAGTTCGGGGACACCCTGGAATGTGCGGTGCAAGGAATGCAGCTCGGGTGACTTGGTGTCTCCAGAACTTGCGAGGAATGTGGCTCGGTTAACCTTGTGTTTCCGAGGCTTGCGAGGATGGAATTGATGGAATACGGATGGGGGTACGTTCGGGTGGCGAGTTTTCTAAACTAAAGAATATTTCCCAAATTGCCATAAATATTTAAGTATATATGTATTTCTAATTGAGTTTTATGTAAGTTTTGAAGGAAAGGTTAATAATGTTTTCAGCAATATTTATTTTATTTCTCTTTATCTTTATTTTCAACATATACAATTATATATATATATATATATATATATATATATATATATATATATATATATATATATATATATATATATATATATATATATATATATATATATATATATATATATATATATATATATATATATATATATATATATATATATATATATATATATATATATATATATATATATATATATATATATATATATATATATATATATATATATATATATATATATATATATATATATATATATATATATATATATATATATATATATATATATATATATATATATATATATATATATATATATATATATATATATATATATATATATATATATATATATATATATATATATATATATATATATTAATCTAAGCCGGTAATACGCAAATAGTTCTATGAAACTAGAAGGGGTTCAGTAAGTAGGTTTGTGTTAATATAAATAATTTACGCAATTCATTTCCGTTAATGATCTTAAACTAGTATTTAATAGTTTATGATTTTTTTAGCACATTTTACTAAGCTTAAACATTTTATTTGTATGCTGCTGAGTTGAGAATGCCTAAGGAATATAGCAAATCAGAATTGTAGAACGTTATCATGTGGCATGGCAGCAGAGTTTTACGCTGATTGGAAATTCGTTTATTATTTAAATACTTCCAATAAATTTATATTTTCTTAATACCACCTTAGGTACCCAAACATGTTTTATGTTGCCTTCTGTTAAGTCAGTATGATTGACTGTTGCCCCACGAGTCTTGGGGATACCCGGACCGTGCGGAGCGAAGAATGCGGTTCAGTCGGACTAAATGTCTCATGATTCAACGAGGATTGCAGCTCGAGTCGACCATGAGTCACCGAGGCTTGCAAGGACGTGGCACATATGG